CTTAAGAAATATATTCCATAAATGATTATATCCCATCGATGAGTTGTACCAAAATAAATTAGTTAAGAAGTGAATATATCGAAAAATGACGTTTTTGCCACAAAAGATGATGATATCCCAAGAATAAAAAGAGATGGGAGAAAGTGATTAGGACAAAAAATGTTCTTTATTAACTTAGGATATATATTCCATAAACGATAATATCCCATCGATGAGTTGTACCAACCTAAATTATTTAAAAAGCGAATATATAAAAAAATGACGTTTTTGACACAAAATATGATGATATCTCAAAAATAAAAAGAGATGGGAGAAAGTGATTAGGACAAAAAATGTTCTTTATTAACTTAGGAAATATATTCCATAAACGATTATATCCCATCGATCAGTTATACCAACCTAAATTAGTCAAAAAGCGAATTTTCCGAAAAATGACGTTTTTGACACAAAAAATTATGATATTTCAAGAATAAAAAGAGATGGGTGAAAGTGATTCAGACAAAAAATGTTCTTTATTAACTTAGAAAACATGTTCCATAAGAGATTATATCCCATCGATGAGTTGTACGAATCTAAATTAATCAAAAAGCGAATATTTCGAAAAATGACGTTTTTGACATAAAAATTGATAATATCTCAAGAATAAAAAGAGATGGGTGAAAGTGATTGGGACAAAAAATGTTCTTTATTAATTTAGGAAACATATTCCATAAACAATTGTATTCCATAGATCAGTTATACCAACCTAAATTAATCAAAAGGCGAATATTTCGAAAAATGACGATTTTGACATAAAAATTGATGAATAAAAAGTGATGGGTGAAAGTGGTTAGGGCAAAAACGTTCTTAATTAATCTGGGAAATATATTTCATAAACGATTACATTTCACGAATTAATTATACCAACCTAAATTAGTTAAGAACCGAATATTTCGAAAAATGACGTTTTTGGCATAAAAATGATGATATTTGAAGAATAAAAAGAGTTAGGTAAAAGTGATTAGGGAAAAAAATGTTCTTCATTAACCTGGGAAACATATGTCATAAACGATTATATCTCATCAGTTCGTTATACCAACCTAAATTAATCAAGAAGCGAATTTTCCGAAAAATGACATTTTTGACATAAAAATGATGATATTTCAGGAATGAAAAGAGATGCGAGAAAGTGAATGAGATAAAAAATGTACTTTATCAACTTAGGAAAGATGTTGCATAAACAATTATATCCTATCGATCAGTTATACCAACCTAAATTAATCAAAAAGGATATATTTCACATTTTTGACTGAAAAAATGATAATATCTGAAGAATAACAGGAGATGGGAGAAAGTGATTAGGACACAAAATGTTCTTTATTAACTTGAGGAACATATTTCATAAACGACTATATCTCATGAATTAGTCATACCAACCTAAATTAGTCAAAAATTCCAAAAATTATTTCTTCTTAAACGGCTAAGATTTAAGAAATGAAACTTTTTGAGGTTATAAACAAACGTTTGAACTTAGATTATACCAAATTATAAACATCCAGGTTGATAACTTTATTTTATATAAAATTTTAAAACTTTCCTATTTGATTTGACGTTTAAAAGTGAGGTTAAAAAAAATTGTTTTCTTCTAAACGGTTGACTTTAAGAAATAAAACTTTTTGAGGTTATTAAAGACCGTTCAAGGTTAGGTTGTACCAAATTATAACCTTCCAGTTGGACCCAAACTGTATCTATAACGTTTTTCAAGTTACTCTACCACATTTTTCGTTGGAAGATTTTTCTTTTTAATACTTAAGTAAAAAATGTTTCAATTTAATTTATTTGTTTCTTGGACGTTTTATAACCTATTGATCCTTTATTAGATCGTTTGGATACAAGCCAACCACTTCTTTTCATCTAAATTTGTTATACCAACCTAAATTAATCAAAAAGCCAATGTTTCGAAAAATGACGTTTTTGACATAAAAAATAATGATATATATAATAAAATTAGGAAAAAGTAAATACTTTTTGTGAGAAATATTAAAAATACTTAATTTATTTCAAAAAGTAAACATGTTTCGAAACAAATGTTTCATCTTCAGTACCTATTTTAGGAAAAAGAAAGTATTTAACAAACATTAAACGGAACTACAATAATGACGGTAAAAGGTGAGGGTATCGGATTTGAAAAAGTAAACTTACTTGAAATAATTACAAAATGCTGAAAAATGCTATTTACTTTTTCCTATTTTTATTATTTAATTTTTTGAGAAATATGGAGAATTTCATCCCTTTTAAAAAATAATGATATCTCAAGAATAAAAAGAGATGGGAGGAAGTAATTAGGACAAAAAGTGCTTTTTATTAACTTGGAAAACATATTCTATAAACGATTATATCTCATGAATTCGGTATACCAACCTAAATCAGTTAAAAGGCGAATATTTCAAAAAATTATGTTTTTGACATAAAAATTGATGATATCTCAAGAATAAAAAGAGTTGGGTGAAAGTAATTAGGGCAAAAATGTTCTTAATTAATCTGGGAAACATATTTCATAAACGATTTTATCTCATCGATCAGTTATACCAAACTAAATTAGTCAAAAAGCGAATATTGCGAAAAAGGACGTTTTTGACATAAAAATTGAAGATATCTCAAGAATAAAAAGAGATGGAAGAAAGTGGTTAGGACAAAAAATGTGCTTTATTAACATGGAGAACATATTTCATAAACGATTTTACTTTATGAATTAGTTATTTCAACCTGAATTAGTCAAAAGGCAAATATTTCAAAAAATTATGTTTTGGATACAAAAATTGATATCTCAAGAATAAAAAGATATGGGAAAAAATGATTAGGATAAAAAATGTTCTTGATTGAACATATTTCATAAACGATTATATCCCATGAAATAGTTATACCAACCTAAATTAGTCAAAAAGCGAAATCTCGAAAACTGACGTTTTTGACACAAAAAACTATGATATCTCAAGAATAAAAAGACATGGAAGAAAGTGATTACAGCAAAAAATGTTCTTGATTAACTTGGAAAACATATTCCATAAACAGTTATATCCCATCGATCAGTTATACCAACCTAAATTAGTCAGAAAGCGAATATTTCAAAGAATGACGTATTTGACACAAAAGTTGATGATATCTCAAGAATAAAAAGACATGGAAGAAAGTGATTACAGCAAAAAATGTTCTTGATTAACTTGGAAAACATATTCCATAAACAGTTATATCCCATCGATCAGTTATACCAACCTAAATTAGTCAGAAAGCGAATATTTCAAAGAATGACGTATTTGACACAAAAGTTGATGATATCTCAAGAATAAAAAGACATGGAAGAAAGTGATTACAGCAAAAAATGTTCTTGATTAACTTGGAAAACATATTCCATAAACAGTTATATCCCATCGATCAGTTATACCAACCTAAATTAGTCAGAAAGCGAATATTTCAAAGAATGACGTATTTGACACAAAAGTTGATGATATCTCAAGAATAAAAAGACATGGAAGAAAGTGATTACAGCAAAAAATGTTCTTGATTAACTTGGAAAACATATTCCATAAACAGTTATATCCCATCGATCAGTTATACCAACCTAAATTAGTCAGAAAGCGAATATTTCAAAGAATGACGTATTTGACACAAAAGTTGATGATATCTCAAGAATAAAAAGACATGGAAGAAAGTGATTACAGCAAAAAATGTTCTTGATTAACTTGGAANTTTCAAAATTCGCTATAAAATTAATTTCTTGAAGAATCCTTTTGGAAATATCATCAATTATTAATTAAAGTATCCTCTTTTTAATGCAAAAAGTCGTTTTGAAAAATCGCTTTTAGTTTTTGAGAAATAAATTTTTGAAATGATCGACAATTTTTTTGAATTTTGTAATTTTTGCTGATTAAGTTTTAAAAATTCGTATAAAATTGATTTATTGGAATATGAAAATTTCGATGTTGCAATTTTCATCGATAATAATAATAATATTTATTAATACAAAATCGCCACACTGGCATATCACAAGTCAACAAAAAAAAGATATTCAAAAGAAAGATATATACAGGTGTATCTGAATGACTGCAACAAATTTCAAGGGGTGATTCTTTAGTGAATTTTAAGGGTACTTTCATATATGAACCATGGGCGACTTCGGCTCCCCCAAGGAGCTACATCCCTCCAAGAATGGCAGAAAATTTTGGTAAAATTTTTTTTTCTCAAAAACCATAAACGCTAGGAAAATGAAATTTGGGGAATATGTTTAACTCATAAGAGGGCATGTTTTGACCCTATTTGTACTTTCAACCTACCCTTCTAAACTACTAAACGTAACCNATATTTCAAAAAATGATATTTTTGACACAAAAATTGATGATATTTCAAGAATAAAAAGAGATGGACGAAAATGATTAGGACAAAAAATGTTTTTTGTTAACTTGGAAAACGTATTCTATAAACAGTTATATCCCATCGATCAGTTATACCAACTTAAATTTGTCAAAAAGCGCATATTTCAAAAAATGATGTTTTTGACACAATAATTGAGGATATTTTAAGAATAAAAAGGTATGGAAAAAAGTGGTTAGGACAAAAAACGTTCTTTATTGAAATGAAGCTTTTTGAGGTTATAAAGAAACGTTTGAGGTTAAATTGTCACAAATTATAACTTTCTAGGTTATAATGGAATGTATTACATGGATAGGTCAAATTCATTTTATGTAAAATATCAATTTTTTTAAATTCTTAAGTAAGAAAATTGTATCTTAGACGTTTTACAACCTATTGATTCTTTATTAGATCGTTTGGATCTTTGGTTTGGATACAAGCCAACCATTTCTTTTCGGCCAAATTACAATAATTTATCATTCTTTATTTAAAAAAAAATTCTCACTAAAAAGGATCAATGTGATCCTTTTGTTCCTTTCAAATCATTTAATTTAACGTCACTTTTGACAATTCACATATCTTTCTTTATTTTATTTAATTATTATTTAATTTTACTCGATAAAAAAAAATAAGAAGAAGAAATGTTTTTTTCTTACATCCGTACGATTATTTCTTTAAAACCTCAACAATCGTTTCCCGTTTTAACCAAACTAATCAAACCAAGATTCATTCCAACACAGCACCATTTAACGGTAGCCGCGGGATGCGAAAGTCCGATTTATTGCAACGGGAAATTATTAACAACAATTCAAAACTCGGGAATGTTCGTCGATTCGAAAACTTTCGTCGATATGAAAATGAAAAAGACAGTTTTTGAAACTGTGGGAGCTTTCCACTCACTCATGTATCAATACGAAGACGAACCATCCAGAGAGGTGCTCGAAAGTTTCGTGCGAGACCACTTCGAATACGAAAACGAACTCGAAGATTGGTTTCCCCCCGATTTTAACCCAGAACCGCGATTTTTAACGCGAATCCCAGATCCCGAAGTGCGAAGTTTCGCGAAACGTTTGGTTTGGTTGTGGCCAAAATTAGGAAGAAAATTAAAAAACGATATTTATCGAAACACCGATAAATACTCTATGGTACCTTTAAGTAACGGATTAATCGTACCAGGTGGAAGATTTCACGAGATTTATTATTGGGATACTTATTGGATTGTAAATGGATTATTAATATCGGAGATGTATCATACCGCGAGGGGATTAATCGACAATTTAATTTACATGGTTAGAGTTTATGGATTCGTCCCAAACGGTGGTCGAATTTATTACGCGCAAAGATCCCAACCACCACTTTTAATCCCAATGGCCGCGAAATACGTCCAATACACAAACGATTTAGCTTGGTTAAAAAAAAACATCATCTTTTTAAAACGCGAAATGAAATTTTGGAAAATGAAACGATTCCTAACCGTCGAAAAATTCGATAATCAATACGATTTGGCGTATTACGCCGTGGAAGGATATGGACCAAGACCGGAATCGTACCATGAAGACGCCGACTTAGCAGTGCATTTAGAAAGTGAAGGGGAACGAGAAGAAATCTTTACGAATCTTAAATGTGCCGTACAAAGCGGTTGGGATTTCTCATCGAGGTGGATTTACGATGATAATGGGGATTGTAAAGGGAGTTTGGCGCAAACTCAAGCGAAATATGTTGTTCCCGTTGATTTAAACGCCTTCCTTCACTTGGCGTACCTTTCCATGGCTTATCTTTATGGGAAATTAGGAAATTATGAACGCAAAGTGTATTGGTGGCAAGAAGCGAAAATTTTGGCCCATTCCATCAAAGAGATTTTATGGGACGAGGAAGATAACATGTGGTACGATTTTAATGTTAAGTTGCGCGAGCACCGAAAAATGTTTTATGCGTCTAATTTAACACCGTTATGGACCGGGTGTTTCCCGAAATCGGAGGCGAAAAGATATGGAAAAGCGAATGCTGATTATTTGGTGCGAACTGGAATTATGGATTATAAAGGGGCGATTCCGACTTCGTTGGAGTTTTCTGGCCAACAATGGGATTTTCCAAACGCTTGGCCACCGTTACAAGCAATTATTGTGCAAGGTTTAGAATCTTCCGGACATCCGGATGCCGTTCGTTTAGCTCGAGAATTGGCGGAACGTTGGGTTACAACCGTCGTTCAAGGATTTAAAGAAACCGGGGATATGTACGAAAAATATAATTGTATGGAAGTCGGGAAATATGGTGGAGGAGGGGAATATATCATCCAAACCGGGTTTGGGTGGACCAATGGGGTTTCTTTGGAATTTATTGTGAAATATTATAGCAATTAATTTTTTGTATCCAATAAATTAACGATTAATACATGATGATACTTTAGAAATTGTAGATTCTATTGTAAATACAACTTAAATCAGATCAAAGAATCCTTATAAATCTTAAAATATTTAATACTTTGTATACAAATAAAGAAACATTTACCGTTAAACGAAGAGCATCAAGTTGAGGGTTTTCGAGAGTACATTGAGTCCTTGTAAAATCATTTATGAGATTGTTTCCAAAGAAAACATGAAAAAAATGATAAAAACACCAAAAACTTATGATCTGATGGGTATAAATATAAGATATTAAGTTTTAAAAATTCGTATAAAATCCAGTTCTTGGAATATGAGCATGAAAATTTTCCAAAGTGTTAATAAAAGTGTCTTCTTTTCAATGAACCAACCCATTTTGAAAAATCACTTTTAGTTTTTGAGAAAACAATATTTGAAGTTTTGTTAAAATTTTCGAAGTTGCAATTTTAATCGATATTTTTCAAAATTCGCTATAAAATTAATTTTTTGAAGGATCNATTTTTGAAATGATCGACAATTCTTGCGAATTTTTCAATTTTCGCCGATTAAGTTTCAAAAATTCGTATAAAATCGATTTCTTGGAATATGAGTATGAAAATTTCCCAAAATGTTAATAAAAGTGTCTTCTTTCCAACGAACCAACCCGTTTGGAAAAATAACTTTTGGTTTTTGAGAAAACAATATTTGAAGCTTTGATAAAAATTTCGATGTTGCAATTTTCATCGATAATTTTGAAAATTCGCTATAAAATTAATTTCTTGATGGATTCTTGTGGAAATATCGCCAATTATTAACACATGGTGAAAATGGATATATCCTATTACAATAACTTAACGGCAGATACCGCCTCTCATATCCTATCCTATAAACGTACAACATATTAGATCAAACTTCAACAACAACACATTAAATTCCTAAAAACGTGCCTTAGAGATAAGATCTTTCCTAATTTCACTAATAAAAAATATCCACAACATTTGAAAGAGTACCAGATAGATAAAATCAAAACCCAATACATATGTCAAATTTTGAACAGCCACTATAAGAAATTGAACACACTCAACATAAAACTATATACGAGTGTCATTTCTAAATTGTCATTTCCAACACCTCATAATTGAAAAAATTATAAAAGAAGCTAAGACACATCACATTCAGTTACTGAACGAGTTACGCAAGAAGAAATTCAGAAAACTTAAAAGACTGAAGAATGAACAACAACATAAAAGAGTAAGAATTGAAGACCAGACAAGAACACATGAATTTCACCCAAAATTGACGCACACCACTTCCACGATACTTGATAAAAATGAAGAACAACTATTACTAAAAGGATTGAAATATGCTCCAAAAAACCAACCAAACTTACCAATGTTGGCAATGGAGATACAAGCAGCAACAAGGGGCCACGAAAGAGAAGACATAATCAACAAGGAGATCCAGGCGATGCTGATAACAGAGGAAAAGAAACGAGAACAATTACGAAAGAGGGACAAGAAGACAACCGAAGAACACAATATCATAAAGAACTTGAAATGGAAAATTAAAGATAACAATTTAATATTAACCCTAGCAGACAAGAATGCTGGAATGATTATTATGGACAAACAATAATACATACAGAAGACAGAGGCATTCCTGAATGACAATAATTTTGAAAACATAAGACTACTAAAGACCCAACTACCTATTTTCACAAAAAGACAAAACAAACAATCAAAGAAAACATAGCAGTAATAAATGAATTTCTAGGCAACAATCGCAATATTATACCTATGAACCCACAAATTCCCAAATTGTACGCCCTACCAAAAATTCACAAAGTTAATATACCAATTAGACCTATAATTAGCTCAATAAATTCAAGCGCCTATCATCTAACTAAAATTTTATAAATTAATTAACTTCAAACTGGAACATACAATAAATAACAGAAACCAATTTCCAGAAATAATTAATAACTTGGAACTGTCGAATCACTTTAGAATGATTTCTTTTGATGTTAGCAATATCTATACTAACGTACCCATAACAGAAACCCTACTCATTCTAAAAAAACTTATAAAAACAGAAATCAATGACGATACTAAAATCGAAAGTTTCCATAATTTATTCAAACTATGTCTACAACAAAACTTTTATCTTTTTAATGGTAAAATTTTTCAATACAACGATGGCGTTCCTATGGGCTCACCATTAAGTGGAACCATGGCTGACCTATTTATGAATGATCTAGAGAAAAATTATATTATCAACAATAACAATCCTTATCTTACAGAAATTATAATGTAAATATTTCAATATATTTCAATTTTTTCGAATTTTGCAATTTTCGTCGATTAAGTTTTAAAAATTCGTATAAAATCGATTTCTCGAAATATGAGTATCAAAATTTCCCAAAATGTTAATAAAAGTCTCCTCTTGCCAATGAACCAACACGTTTTTAAAAATAACTTAGTTTTTGAGAAAACAGTATTTGAAGTTTTGATAAAAATTTCAATGTTGTAATTTTTATAGATAACCTACAAAATTCGCTATAAAATTAACTTCTTAAAGGATCCTTGTGGAAATATCACCAATTATTAATTAAAGTATTTTCTTTTTAATGCAAAAAACCGTTTTGAAAAATCGCTTTTAGTTTTTGAGAAATAAATTTTTTAAATAATTGACAATTTTTTCGAATTTTGCAATTTTTGGCGATTAAGTTTTAAAAATTCGTATAAAAATCGATTTATTTTTATCGAACATATTTCATAATCTCATGAATTAGTTATGTCAATTTAAATTAATCAAAAGTCGAAAATTTGGAAAATTGACGTTTTTGACATAAAAATGATGANTATAAAATTAATTTCTTGAAGGATTCTTGTGGAAATATCACCAATTATTAATTAAAGTATCCTCTTTTTAATGCAAAAAACCGTTTTGAAAAATCGCTTTTAGTTCTTGAGAAATAAATTTTTGAAATAACAATTTTTTCGAATTTTTCAATTTTCGCCGATTAAGTTTTAAAAATTCGTATAAAATCGATTTCTTGGAATATGAGTATGAAAATTTCAAAAAAATGTTAATAAAAGTGCCCTCTTTCCAATCAACCAACCCGTTTTGAAAAATAACTTTTCATTTTTGAAAAAACAATATTTGAAATTTTGATAAAAATTTCGATGTTGCAATTTTCATCGATAACTTTCAAAATTCGCTATAAAATTAATTTCTTGAAATATCCTTGTTGAAATATCACCAATTATTAACTATAATATCCTCTCTTTAATGCAAAAAACCGTTTTAAAAAATCACTTTTAGTTCTTAAAAAAGAAATTTCTTAAATAATTGACAATTTTTTCGAATTTTGCAATTTTCGCCGATTAAGTTCGTATTTATTTTTAACGAACATATTTCATAATCTCATGAATTAGTTATGTCAATTTAAATTAGTCAAAAGTCGAAAATTTGGAAAATTGACGTTTTTGACATAAAAATGATGATATTTCAAGAATAAAAAGAGATGCGAGAAAGTAATTAAGACGAAAAATGTTCTTTATTAACTTGGAGAACATATTTCATAAACGATTATATGTCACGAATTAGTTATACCAACCTAAGTTAGTTAAAAAGCACTTATTTCGAAAAATGACGTTTTTGACACAAAAATGTATGATATCTCAAGAATAAAGGGATATGAGAGATAGTGATTAGGACAAAAAATGTTCTTTATTAACCTGGAGAACATATTTAATAAATGATTATATCTCATGAATTAGTTATACCAACCTAAGTTTGTCAAAAAGCGAAAATTTCGAAAAATGACGTTTTTGACATAAAAATTGATGATATCTCAAGAATAAAGAGAGATGGGAGAAAGTAATTAGGACAAAAAATGTTCTTTATAAACCTTGAGAACATATTNTGGAATATGAGTATGAAAATTTCCCAAAATGTTAATAAAAGTGTCCTCTTTCCAATGAACCAACCCGTTTTGAAAAATAACTTTTAGTTTTTGAGAAAACAATATTTGAAGTTTTGATAAAAATTTCGATATTGCAATTTTCATCGATAATTTTCAAAATTCGCTATAAAAATAATTTCTTGAAGAATCCTTGTGGAAATATCACCAATTATTAATTAAAGTATCCTCTTTTTAATGTAAAAAGCCGTTTTGAAAAATCACTTTTAGTTCTTAAGAAATAAATTTTTTAAATAATCGATTTTGCAATTTTCGCCGATTAAGTTTTAAAAATTCGTATAAAATCAATTTCTTGGAATACAGGGTGTCCCGTTAAGGGTACGGAGAAGATGAGCTATAACTTTGATATTTTTTGCAATATTTCTCATATCTGTCATAATAAGGGAGGGGGAGGCCAACGCGTTTTCAAATGTTTACTTTTTAGTATCTCCTGAACCATTCAACCAATTTGAATATTTTTGGTCTCGTTTGAAAGAGCATTTTATGCTCTTTTAAAAGATATTTTCAGTAAGACCGTTTGGTTTAAAACAAATAAGTTAGAGGGCGTTATCTGGAGCGATGACCTATTTTTGTGATTTTTGAAAAAAAGTTAAATGGAACGGTACTATTTACTTCACAGATCCTTAGTCACCATAAAATTTGCTAAATATTAGTGAAAACCGCATCTCGATATCGCCATCCGTTCTCGAATTATAGAAGAAAATGTTAAAAATTCGGGTTTCTTTAATCAGATCTAATCACCTTATAGAGAAAAACAAAGCACGTAGCCATGGTAACTATGGTAACTAGTTGAAAACATTGCGCTTTGACAACTGTCAAAATTTAATTCAAATAGTAATTGTCTGTTACATTTATTTTGTTTTACAATCATGTCTTTTACTAACGTAGAAGCGTATGATATGTTACGCATTTATTTTCAATGTTTGGAAAATGCTGTAATTGCATCGCGCGAATATGCAATGCAGTTTCCACAAAGAAGACATTTTTCTCGAGACGTGTTTTCAAGATTGGCTAGGCGATTACGGGAAACTGGTAATGTTTAGGCCTACGTACAATTCCGACGACCTGGGAATCCCGAAAACAACTGTGCATAAGATTCTTCAAGAGAATAATATGCAT